ATAATCGCGCCCGGCACAACACTACTGTACATGGATAGACTCACGGTACAGTCATGTTGAAGAGAATTGTCACCACCAGGACAACCTGACGAACAAGTAAAATCATATATTTGTCTGCCTGGCATGTGATTACCTGACGAGACATAATTCATCACATAATGGGGCAAAAATCTTTTCACATCACAACCAGTGTGGCAGCCAATCAGCACGGCCCAACAATCTGAGTTGATTACACAACCACAAGAGAACACTTTCAATCTCCAGTGGATCATCTGTATTATATTCAGCAACAAGCTTTAATAAAGAAAATCCTTATTGGACTAGAATTAAATTCAAAGCATGTGTGTCCTTTACATTTCCGCTAAGTGTGTGGATGGAAAACACGTAGTCTGGTTCCCTTGGTAATATCCATTGAGAAGATCCATTTCTGCGGAGATGGAAGCATGAAGGATTATCTTATTCGAGAGAGCGATCATTCACCATTACCACTAGTGTCAGTACCAATGTGCACCCATGAGCACCTCCTTTATATTATCCATTTCCTCATCTCTGTCATAACATACCCAGTGAGCATTCCAAAACGATCTAACACACATTTTATTCTCCATGGATAACTTTATCCATTTTCGCCACCATCAACACGATAGTTGAATTTAATTTCTGCAGAAATTGTTGATTCTCCACAGATCAAGAGTAAATCCAATCCACAACAGACGTCCACACCAGATCTAACCAATCAACTGCTAACTGACGCGCTGGGTTTTCCATCTACAAAGATTTCCTCTGCCAGCTACAGGCGGTATGCTATAGAAGACAATAAATACAACCAATATTGACAACATACTCCACAAATAGCGATAATTATCCATATCTCACAGTAGACAGCACACTCCTACCAACAGATCAAACATGCAACCTATACTCACGAAAAACCTGAAACTGACGAGTCACATACACATCGTCTACACTATATTAATAAGTAGCATATAGAATGTTGTACCGCAT